CAGAACCCCAAAAAACTTTCTGTTGGTGATATCTATTGATACTTACTGTACTAAGATTAAAACTGATAAAATTTTTAAATATTTATGATACATTTCAAAATAATAATCCATTACAGGTTAATTAACAATATATTTGTATGAAAAATAACTATTTTCCAAAAATAGAGAAGAGTGGCATTGTTTTACAATTTTTTGCAAATCTCTTTACTGTCTGGTTTAATTGAAGGCAACTCAGTTCTCATATCTGCTCTTGCATTCAACCTGTTACTATACGGTGTTTTGGTTTAAGTAAATGAAGAAAATCCAGTCCCACACAAGATATATAGTTGGTAAAGATGTCAGCCATTCTTTCAAATAAAATAGTATTCCATGAAAAACGTGGCTTTTTCAGCTCACAACTCAAACAATGTCATAAGTGCTTTTCCTGCAGATCAGCTTTTCACATGCAGCATAAATGCTCTATGTGTAATTCTCACTTTGTCACATAGAATATTAAAAAGACAGATACTCAGGACTTCCCTGGTGGCACAGTGGTTAAGAATCCGCCTACCAATGTAGGGGACATGGGTTCGAGCCCTGGTCCGGGAAGATCCCACATGCCGCGGAGCAACTAAGCCCATGTGCCACAACTACTGAGCCTGCGCTCTAGAGCCCGTGAGCCACAGCTACTGAGCCCACACGCCTAGAGCCTGTGCTCCGCAACAAGAGAAGCCACCGCAATGAGAAGCCCGCACACCACAACGAAGAGTAGCCCCTGCTCACCACAACTAGAGAAAGCCCGTGCATAGCAACGAAGACCCAACACAGCCAAATAACTAAATAATAAAAGACAGATACTCAAAAGGCAAGAATTAGTAAAATTAATGATTTTTACTTCTTCATCAAGGACGTCCTTCGGTGAAACTGACTTTTTTTTAAATTGTAAATTTGTGTTGATGAAGAATACAATGACCACCAGTACAGTTTGGTGACAGGGCTTTGAAGCAAACTAAGACACCAGCAGTTTAACCCACAATTTCATTTTACATCAGTGTAGACTCAACATAGTGAAGGAGGCAGAAAAAGTCTAAGTATTATTATGAAATAGTTTTGACCCCATGAACCCCCAAAAGAGTTTCAGGGACCCCACAGTTGGCCAACTACACTTAGAGAACCACTGCTCTGGGCCTGTTTCGCATCTTAAAACCTGGGTAATAGGGCTTCCCTGGTTGCGCAGTGGTTAAGAATCTGCCTGCCAATTCAGGTGACACAGGTTCGAGTCCTGGTCCGGGAAGATCCCACATGCCGCAGAGCAACTAAGCCTGTGCACCGCAACTACTAAGCCTGCGCTCTAGAGCCCACGAGCCACAACTACTGAAGCCCGTGAACCTAGAGCCCGTGCTCCACAACAAGAGAAGCCACCTTAGTGAGAACCCCGTGCACCGCAATGAAGAGTAGCCCCCACTCGCCACAACTAGAGAAAGCCTGCGCGCAGCAAGGAAGACCCAACACAGCCAAAAATAAGTGCAAGAAAGAAAGAAAATGCATGCTATTAAAAAAAAATTTTTTTTAACTGGGTAATAATACCAATGTCTTAGAATTGCTGTGATGGTAAATAATGTATTTAAAGCACCCAGCACAAAATCTTATAGGAAGAACACCATAAATGTTTCTACTCGTTAAAGCAGAGCTGTGATGGCTCTACGTCAATTTATCTAACATTTATTCGGAATTCTATCGCATTTGCAATATTTCACAAGTAACATTTATCTTCAGGATTCTTTGCTTGCCTTCTTTATATTAGGTGTCTATATGTGTTAAAATACACGTAACATAAAATCTACCAGTTTAACCATTTTTAAGTGTACAATTTAGTACTTCCGACTTATTTACCAACGCCATTTATCAGATGTTTATTTCACACGTAACAGGGTAGATTCAATCCCTTTTGAGACTGCATTTCTCTAGATGCCTTTTTCTTTTTCTGTTTTTTTTTTTTTCCAGACAAGGCTTAAATGCCTTTTCTATTCAGTACACTTATTAATCCAAAGGTTTTTTGACTTCATTTAACGGCTTATCCTCCAGATTGGTGAACTGATCGTAGAGCCGTAAATACCCGATCCAGCACTTACCCATCAGCCTAAATACTTCAAAACCTCTCTTTCAGTAACTTGCACTTTCAAGGTCCCGCGCGAAGTCTCTAGTATCGCGAGATGCCTCTACGCCAGGTAGGGGTGGGGCTTAACCTGCGGTGGAGTCCCAGCACCCTTAGCGAATTTCTAACTCCCTAACTGCGCATGACGCGGCGCAGGCGCAATAGAGATTTCTTGACTTCCGAGGGCTTCAGAAAGTATAAATACCGATGCCTTGAGCCCGTTTGGTCTTTTCGGGGAAGGCTATTGTCGTTCTAATCGGTGAGTGTGATTAGATGCCTGCTTCTTCAGCGTTTTGTCTGGTACTGGGTCCGCCATTCATCCTTTTCTGTTGGGATCATACTATTTAGAATGATTCCGAATCTTCGGCGTCCATGCTGACTACGCTTACTCGCAAAAATAGGGCCGGGTCGGGTGTGGGCTGGGGAGGCCTCGCCGGCCGCGGGTCTTGGCCGTAACCAAGGGTCGCTACCGCGGGAATTCCCAGGCCTGCAGGGCGCGACCCTCCGCGCCACAAGCTAAGTTAGCAGCGCCTGCCCTCATTTCCTGTTGCGCCATTATGCTGCTTCCTAGGAGGCGCGTTAGCGTCTTCAGTGGAGTTGAATGCAGGCCATTTTGTTCCCGATTCGGGTTATTTTTAATTCTGGTGCTATTTATTTTTTCTTTTGGGGCAATTTTTTTATTTCAGGCGATCGGGTTAAAGGTAGGAGCCTTTATTGGTGTCATAACGGCTGTTTGTTATTTGCTGTTTTTCGGCAGCAAGCTAATCGCCTGTTGGGGTTCCTAGATGTCTTTGGAGTACCTGGTTGGAAATTCAGATTATTGATGTGTCTGCTCGTTAGTCTTGCGCACAACTCTTGACACTCTGGGGTGATTGGGATCTAGTCCCTTATAGATACTCCTGCGAAGTAGCTGTCAACTTGGTGAAGTTCATTTCTAAAATATAGTGACCAACGTGGATACCCCGGGAGGTCACTCTCCCCGGGCTCTGTCCTGGTGGCGTAGGGGAGCATAGGGCTCTGCCCCATGATGTACAGTCCCTTTCCACAACGTTGGAGATGAAGCCGGGCCTTGAGTCTGCGCCTGCATATTCCTACAGCTTCTCAGAGTCCTGTGGACAATGACTGAGGAGACAAACCATGCAGGAAACAGCTCTCTAGAGCAGCATATCTGAATCTAGGTTGATCCGAAGTGAATGAAAAATTTGTTTTAATCAGTTTGGGTGTACTACTGAATTAAATGTACAGTCCCTTTCCACAACGATGGAGATGAAGCCGGGCCTTGAGTCTGCGCCTGCATATTCCTACAGCTTCTCAGAGTCCTGTGGACAATGACTGAGGAGACAAACCATGCAGGAAACAGCTCTCTAGAGCAGCATATCTGAATCTAGGTTGATCCGAAGTGAATGAAAAATTTGTTTTAATCAGTTTGGGTGTACTACTGAATTAAAGCTCTTACCTGCTTTGTTTTGCAGCATTCGTTTGGGATTCCAAATAATTTGATTCGGGGTAAGTAAATCTACGAATTCCTTTTGGCCTATCAGTGTTTGCCTGCCAACATTTTGCATAAGACATTTGATCATTTTGAGCTCAGTTCCATTTCATGAAGATGCTTCCGTTCAGTGCATCTAGATATTTTGCTACTTTTTTTTGTAGGCATGTTGACAGTTTCTTAGATGTATGCTCATATTCCAGGAAGATGGCTTTTTAAAGTTTATCTTCACATCTTTAATACTCATGATAGAGGAGAGATTTCTGTTTTGCAAATGGAACAATTTTGAATGACTTAACCAAAGACAGCAAAGGTGTCACATGAGCCATGTAATGTGTGTACCCTCTCGATCTTTCCAGGGGAACTAAGGGTTTGGTCTCTTGTACAGTTCCTTTCTGTGATGTGGGGGGTTAAGTTGCGCCAGCATATGCAGAGCATATGTCTACAATGACAGTAACTATGATAGATAAAGCGTAACTTTTGGAAGTTATTAGAAACAGTTGCTAATCCTGGTGGACTTGAACTTCCCTCAAGTCTACATGTAGTATGGGATGAGGGGAAATGAAATGTCTTGAAAACGGTTACAGTAAGTCCTTTACGTACAAACCTTAAGATGCGAACATGTGTGCACATGTCCAATCACGTAAGTTAATTCAGGTATCTGGTGTACATTGTCACATGCGTGCATCCTCTACAAGTGGTTGTGTTTTAGTATACTTTACGGTACTGTATGGAGTACAGTAGGACAGTATCTGTATTTTAAGCCCAGGATGTCTGGGAACAAGCATAAAAGCAGCAGTGGCATAGGTGGTACTGCTGAAGAATGAAAGAGATTCATGATGCAGGAAGTGGTAAGGGGGTTTTCTTTATTTGAGGAGGCACTGTTAGTTTTTGAGGCAGAGGACCCGGACGTAGAATGGTACAGGAAAGCTGCAGCAACCATTCAGAATGCAGTGCAGTGCTACTGTGTCTGATGAGAGGAAGAGCTAGTACCCAGATATCACTGGATCATTTTTTCAGGAGGGTAGATAGAGTTGAATCCAGCAAGGGACCAGAACCTGTGCCATCAGCGTCAGGCATGAGTGAAATTGCAGCTTGCCCTTCATCTCATGTTGCTAATGATCTTCAGCTCTGCCATCTCCCACCTCCTCTCCCTCCAGTCAGTAACTCATGGCCTGTTCACTCGAGGCCAGCCCCTGTATGCTAGCTGTTTTATTTTTTCAAGGTACTGTAAGATTTTAAATGTTTATTTTTTTGTGTTTGTTTTTTATGTATTTGTGTGAAAAGTATTATAAACCTATTACAGTACAGTGCTATATAGTCGATCATGTTAATTGGGTACCTAGGCTAACTTTGTTGTACTTTGTCCGCTCTCAGATTGAAACTTGTCCGTATGGGAACTTACAGTAACTCTGTTCAGTCAGACATTCCAACGTGGATACCCCGGGAGGTCACTCTCCCCGGGCTCTGTCCTGGTGGCGTAGGGGAGCATAGGGCTCTGCCCCATGATGTACAGTCCCTTTCCACAACGTTGGAGATGAAGCTGGGCCTTGAGTCTGCGCCTGCATATTCCTACAGCTTCTCAGAGTCCTCTGGACGATGACTGAGGAGACAAACCATGCAGAGAGACATCTGGTATACCAAAATTTAAAAGTGAAATAAGATTGTTATGTATGAATCTAATTCTTTTTTTGTCCTTTTCATTCAGGAGAGAAGAGGAGCCTTGCCTAACGTGTGCAGTTAACAATGCTTTGGGGGCCTTTATTTGACAGGGAGATTAGTAAAGTGAGTAATACACTATTTTTGGAAGATAAGCCTGGGCAATTTGAAAATGTTAAGTTTTGGCACAATGTTTAACACTGGAATTGCACCTTAAAAACCAGCAGAGTAAGAGTGTTCTGTTAACCAGGTGCCTTTTGAAATTTAGAAGGAATTCCAGAAGACACTTGTGTGGGCAGGTCTGTGGACAGTACAGTGACCTGGGAGTCCCAAGAGACCCTTTCAGGTTTCCTATGAGGTGGAAACTTGATGTGCTGATACCCAGATCTTGGCCATTCTCAAGTAAACTGGATTTTCTTAAAAGTGGAAAGCAGGTGCCCATGAGAATCTACATGTCTTAATAAAGAGATCCATGTCAGTTTCTGATGTACTTGGTGAATTACAATAAAGGTGACTATATACATAATTGTGTGGTTCTTTTTTTTGGCCGCACCATGTGGCTTGCAGGATCTTAAGTCCCCCAACCAGGGATCAGACCTGGTCCCCCTTCAATGAAAACACCAGGGAATTCCCTATGTGGTTCTTTCTATGCAAGTATGACTGCTAAATGAGTATTCTATAAATGAAGCTGCTTGTTCAAGCAGTTAATACCTGATTGATTCTGCACTAATTTAAGGCCCTGAGCTCTTGGTTTAATATTGGCATTTGTGTACTACTACTTGGGAAAATGCATGTTTACTAACCAGTTGTAAATAGGTAACTTAAGGTATGGTCTTAGAGACTTACACATTAGGCCACTGGACATGGGTGTTGAATGAGAGGTCTTCATGCTGATGAGACCTAACCATTGTACAAGATTTGGTGCAAATGTTAAAAAGTTAAAAGCAGCTGTTGGGGTAGTTAATCTGCTTCTGTGTCAAAGAGCTATGCTTGAGTCACAGTAGGACTTTGTCAAGCCTGTGTACAGGCTGCCAGCATTATAGGGAAGTCAAGACTGAAGGATGGGGACTAGCGGGGAGCCATCTAGAAGGTAGAGTCTAGATCTTGGGTGGGGCTATTAAGTGAATTTTACAAGATGGGGAGGTAGAATAACCCATTTAGAATCCATTGGGGTCAGATTTAAGGGGGGGATTTGGGGGGTTGGTGGGTTGTGGCCCAAACACGTGGAATGTCCAGATGTATAGTTTTACAGTGTTCAGGGATGAGAGGGTAAAGAATAGGAGCTAGTTTGTGGCTATGATTATTGGAGAACCTTGGTTGCTTTACCTAAGCAAGTAGCAACACTTTTAGTGCTTGCCTGTGCCAGGCTCTTCTAAGCACTTGGCATGTGTTAATCACAGCCCTGAAGTGGGTATTAATCTGTCTGCTTTGATAGGAAAACCCAGGAGGAGAAGGGCTAAATAATTGCCCAAATCTACAACTAGGAAGTGGACTGGTCCAGTATCCCCAGGGTTAGCCATGTGTCCAGCGCACATCTTGGCATTCCCACATAAACAGTCTTTGGATGGTAGATGCACAGTAAAGTCTGAACAATGTTTTTAGTGTAAATTCTCAGGGTAGGGCTGGGTGCTAGGTGAGGAGTACATCCATTTCTCCTGGTGTCCAAGTGTAGCTGACGCAAAGCTGTCAGCAAGTATTCTAGGTCACACCCTTTGCTGAACGTCAGGAAGCAGCATGCCTACCTGTAGACTTTTTACAAACAGGTTATTCTGGCTTTTTTCTCCATGTAGGCCTTAATAGTCATAGCAGTAGTTGCTAAAGTGAGACTGCCTGGGTTTGAATCCTGATAACCACTTGTAGTCCCTGTGACCTTGGGCAAGCTACTTAACCTCTCTGCCTCAGTTTCCTTATGCATAGAATGGGGACAGTAAAAGTACCTCTTGGAGTTGTAGTGAGAATTTAGAGTTAATATTTGTAAAACAGCTTACAGTCTCGGGCTTCCCTGGTGGCGCAGTGGTTGAGAGTCCGCCTGCCGATGCAGGGCACACGGGTCCGTGCCCCGGTCTGGGAAGATCCCACATGCTGCAGAGCGGCTGGGCCTGTGAGCCATGGCCGCTGAGCCTGCGCGTCCGGAGCCTGTGCTCCGCAGCGGAAGAGGCCACAACAGTGAGAGGCCCGTGTACCGCAAAAAAAAAAAAAGCTTACAGTCTCATAAGTACAGTGAGCTTGTGAGAAAATTCTCTGACTTAAAAGCAAACAACTAGGGATATAGTATCCATTAAAGCTTTGTTTTATAAAGTCTGCCACCACAGATAAATGATCTACTAAACCAGGCTTATCTCACTCAGAACACTACCTGTTCAGGAGAGAAAAGGGGAGAAGATGGAGGGATTAGTATGGCCCAAGATCACCTAACTAGTAATAGAACCAGGATTTGAACCCCAAAACCGTATCATGATATACTATTACCTTTGAACAAGGCAGTGTGGTAAGATATGTACATTATTTCATCTAATATTCTATGTACCCCTGTAAAGTAGGTACCCTTTGTGCCCATTTTGCAGAGGAGACTGAAGTTGGAGTTGAGGAACTTGCATGAGTTATATAGCCAGTAAGTGGCAGAACATGCATCTGAGCAAGGCAATTGACCACAGAGCCTGTGCTCAACCCACATCATACCATGCCTTGAGAAAATTAGCTATTTACACTTCGTATTCAGCTAATTAGTACCCACTACACCATAAAAACTCAGTTTCAGTTGTAACAAATTATAAACCTACTATGTGCCTATGTCTGCTTGGCTCTGGATAATACTAAGACATGAGTGCAGTTTCCTGGGGAGCGGGAGCCCTTCCTGGCTGTTACTTCTGTCTTTCACCACTTTCTGTCTTTATGCATGTCTTTCCCTCTGATGGATGGGATCTCAGTTCCCCAACCAACCAGGAATCAAATCTGGGCCCCTGCAGTGGAGTCTTAACCACAAGACAGCCAGGGAAGTCCCAGAACCTGTGTCTTTATGATGGTATCTGACATTTCATGAGGATTTACTATGTGCTAGGCATTCTTTAATCCTTACAACAGCCCTATGCAGGGCAGGGACATTTTTTATATCCGTGTTATAGAAAAGGAAGACAATCAAGGTTAGATTATTTGCCCAAGGTCACACATCTTTAGATGAAGGTCTGCATCTTTAGAGCCTGAACTCAGCCACCATTCTCACCTCCCCTTCCCTAAGCACCCATAATGGCTTCTCTCAGAGGTAGGGTGGGCACCTTGAGCATTCCATCATGGTAATGTTATTAGCATTCTGATGTGCTTATTTTTTAGTTGTTGTCCATCTAACCTACTAGTTGAGTTATCCTTAAAGAATGGGACCATATATGTATGCTCAGGACCTAGTACTGGGCCTGGCACATAGCAAACGCTGGTTGATGACTTTATTCTTCTGTGTTCTATTTCATTGATTTCTGTTTTGATCTTTATTGTGTTCTTTCTTTTGTTTATTTTGGGTTTAGTTTGCTCTGCTTTTCCTAGTTCGCTAAGGCAGAAGCTGATTAATTTGAGACATTTTCTTCATTTCTAGTTTAGGCATTTAGTGTTATTAGTTTCTCCCAAATACTCCTCTAACAATATTCCACAAGTAAAAAACAAAACAAACAAAAATATTCCAGAAGTTCTGCTATGTTATGTTTTCATTTTAATTTAGTTCAAAATACTTTGAAATTACCCTTTGATTTCTTCTTTGACCTGTGGACTATGTAAAAGTGTGTTTTATTGTTTTTATTTTTATTTATTTATTTATTTAGGCCACTCCAGGCAGCTTGCAGGATCTTAGTTCCCCGACCAGGTATTGAACCCAGGCCACAGCAGTGAAAGTGCTGAGTCCTAACCAGTGGACTGCCAGGGAATTCCCAAAAGTGTGTTTTTAAATATTTGGGCGTTTTCCAAAGATCTTTCTGTTATTTGTTTCTACTTTCATTCCATTGTGGCCTAAGTATATGTTTACTTTGTATGATTGAATCATCTTAAATTTAACAAGACTTTTTCTATAACCTAGTATAGCCTATCTTGGGAAATGTTTCATATGCACTTAAAAGGCACGAGTATGGGGCTTCCCTGGTGGCACAGTGGTTGAGAGTCCGCCTGCCGATGCAGGGGACACGGGTTCATGCCCCGGTCTGGGAGGATCCCACATGCTGTGGATTGGCTGGGCCCGTGAGCCACGGCCGCTGAGCCTGCGTGTCCGGAGCCTGTGCTCCGCAACGGGAGAGGCCACGACAGTGAGAGGCCCGCGTACTGCAAAAAAAAAAAAGGCATGAGTATGTTACTGTTGTCCGAAAAAATCAAGGTGGAGTGTGAAGAAAGGTTAAGTGTTCCGTAAATGTCAATCAGTTCAAATTGATTGAAAGTGTTGTTCAAGTCTATTCTATCCTTGCTGGTTTTCTTCCTACCTGTCCTATCAGTAATATTGAGAGTGGGTTATTGAAATCTCAGCTATAGTTGTTGATTTGTCTATTTCTTCTAGAAGTTCTATCAGTTTTTACTTAACATTTTTTTTTTTTTTTTTTTTTTTTTTTTT